CCCACCCATCCATCCATCTATCCATTCATCCACCTGACCAATCATTTATTTGATTGGGAAAAGCCAGCCCATCCTCTGCCAGTCTATAAGAGATTCTAAGCAGCTGAAAAGACAGAGATACCTAAACAGAAAGTAGCAATGTAGAACTACACCAAACCTAACATGTGTTGGTTCATGGCACAGACATGTGATTGAAGGGAGGCTCGTGGGAAGGTACCAGAAAGGCTTGAATATCCAGCTGGACCTTAAAGGATGAATAAGTTCTTCAGATAGGCAAGTAAGCCAGGAGCAGTCCACGTAGAAGGGACTGCATGTGACAAGGACAGTGCCATACGCAACCTTGGGGTGCTTGTTACAGTCAGGGCTGGAGAGGCTGGCCGGGAAAAGAAGATGGGATGAGATGAGGGAAAGTTTGGGGAGGAGATTCAGGATCAGTGGACTCTTAATGGCAGACAGAGTCTCAGGAAGGAGGAGACTAAAGACCTCCTTCAATCCGCCCAGTGTCTAACTGAAGCCTCATCCTTGAAGATATAACTCAGATAATCACTTCCCTCAAGAAGTCTCTCTGCCTGGCTCAAGTGGATTACACTCCTCCTACCTCGAAGAGGTAGCGTTCCCTGCCTACTCCATTGGCAGCCATGTCGCCCCCATCCCGGTCCCATTCCGAGTTGACTGAGTGGTATGCCTGCCTTCCTCCTAATCCAGCCCACAACACCCAGCTCTCATGATGCTGAGACCAAAACAGGAACAATATACCTTGCAGGTTATGGGTTCTGTTTGCAGTTAAGACAGTTAAGAATAAGTTCCTGTTTGTCCTGTGTTAAGTCCTTGCAAGTTAAGGTTTCTATTTGTAATTAAGAATAAGTTCCCGTTTCTTAGGTCTGATGTAAACTGAAAAACATGTTTTTCAACCTCCACTAAACTTGTGACCCCATTCATAACCCTTTCGTTGTATTTTTCCTCCTGTTTTTCATTGTATTTTTCTTTTTTTCCAGTTTCCAAGTCATTTTATTCAGAATCCTGAATCAATAAATACTATACAAAACAATGTAAAAATGGCTACCATTTTCTCTCCCCTGCTCCCCTCACCTGGGGACAATTCCCTGGACAACTTCCTGCAGGGACTCTCCCTGTAGATTGGGTCCAGCAAATAAGGACAGACATGTTTTAGACCCTTGACATTTTTGGAGACTTGGCTGGGGTAGAAAAACCTTTAGAATCAAGTGACTAGGTTAGGGAAATGGATTAGTGTTTTTTTTTGGGGGGGCACTTGGGGCAGAGCCCACTCCAAAGAAAACGGTGTCTAAAATGTTCACGGTTCCTTCTTTTTGCCTCAAAAATTGACATTTATTTAGAGAGAGAGAGAGAAACAAACAAACAAACAAACAAAAAAGATGTCCATCCTCCCTTGGCTCCCTTCCCTCCCGCCTCCAGCTGTTCCTCAGCCCCCCAAGACTGAACCCTGCTGCCTAGGGCCAGGTAGCAGGACAGCCCCTCAAATGAGGTCAGCAACATTGAGGGGCATCTCTTCAATGGAGGTGTTGTAGAATGTCTCAATGTCTCGAAGAGTCCTTTTGTCTTCTTCTGTCACCATGTTAATAGTCACACCTTCACGGCCAAAGCAACCACCACGACCAATTCTGTGGATGCAGTTTTCCCTGTTGGTGGGAAGGTCATAATTGATGACTAGGGAGACCTGCTGTACATCAATGCCTCTGGCCAACAGGTCAGTGGTAATTAATACTAGGCTAGAACCAGACCGGAACTCCCTCATGATCACATCTCGTTCCTTTTGGTCCATATCTCCATGCATGGCAGAAACAGTGAAATCCCAGGCATGCATCTTCTCAGTGAGCCAATCCACCTTCCTTCTGGTATTGATAAAGATTACTGCCGGGATGAGAGTCAGGGTTTCATACAAGTCACACAATGTGTCAAGATTCCACTCCTCTCGCTCCACATTGATGTAGAATTGGCGGATACCCTCCAGGGTCAATCCTTCCTTCTTGACAAGGACCCGAATAGGGTCTCTCATGAACTTCTTGGTCACTTCAAGGACATCAGAGGGCATTATAGTGGACAACAAAACTACCTGTGTGTTACTGTTGAGCTTTTGGAATATATCATAGATCTGGTCCTTGAACCCATGGCTTAACATTTCGTCTGCTTCATCCAGTACAAACATCTTGATGTATTTAGGGGACAGGTATCTCCAGTTAAGCATATCAAACACCTGGCCAGGGGTGCCCACGATGATATGAGGAGCTTCCATTTGCAGCTTCTGCACCTCAGCATGAACATTGGTGCCCCCAATACAGGCATGACAAGAGGCACCCAGGTAGTCTCCTAATGCCATGACCACTTTTTGTATCTGCTGCGCCAACTCCCGAGTGGATGCCAGAACCAAAGCCTGAGTGGCCTTTAGATCTAACTGAATCTGCTGCAGGATAGATACGGCAAACGTAGCTGTCTTCCCAGTCCCAGACTGGGCTTGGGCGATGACATCATAACCTTGATACAAGGAAGAATGGCTCGCTGCTGGATGGCAGAAGGCTTCTCAAAACCATAGGCATAAATACCACGGAGGAGGGATTCTGAGAGATTCATGTCATCAAAGCTATCCACAATCTCATTCCAGTTACTCTCGATGACGCCTTCAGGCTCCATCCCGTCAGGACCATTGTCTCTGGATCGAGAATCCTGACTTGCAGACATGATCCTTAGAATCTCTCATTGTATTTTTCTAACAATGTGTAACAGCCAACTGTCTTGCCCCTGTGAACACCTTATCTCTCCTATAAAAAGGACCTCAAGGGGCCATGGCTGGCAGGGCCGCTCTCTCAAATCCCGACTTAGGGTGAGACAGTTGGCTGACCAGTCCTGGGTGCACCCCAAAGAACAGCTTGTTTGAATTGGACAATCATGGATTTGGTCTTTTCTCCTCTTGATTCTTGGTTTTAACAGATGCCACCCCCCCATACACAGCCCTACATGTGGCTTCCTGGATCCTCTCCTGTCTGTGTCATCTTCTCTCAGAGATGAATACAGTATTCTGAACAAGTACTTTTGAGTCTAAGGCCTGAGTTTAGATTTTCTAGAGACGTCTAGCAGAGAGAAGCCTGCTTTCCAGAGAGACTCTGTAAGCGTCCTGAGGGACAATCCTTCCTAATTTCCCAGAACTCTGAATGGAAAGAGCAGATGCCTAGAGCTTTTGCCTTCTTAGCAAAGAAGCCTGGCCCCAGTGGAGAAATAAAACAGCTAGAAGGCTGGAATAGGAGGAGCCGGCAGCCAGGGCTCAAGGCAGTGACAAAAGGTATGGGGACCTAGATACCAGATCCACCCCTTTGAACAGAGGAAGAACACACCCTGCAAGGTCCCCAGGCGTCCACTAGCGGGCACCAGTCCCTGGGCCACCATAGTCACGCTGCCTTTCCCGAAGACATTGGCCCAGAAGTAAGGAGAATGCCAGAGGCATGGCGGGCACCTGGGACACTTGGATGATGGCTATCACTTCCAGGCAGTCTGTGAGCCCAGGCCAAGAGTCAGGCAGAAGCAAAGGAAGCAGCTGACTTACCTTCATGACTTCACAGAATGCCACATCCTCATGGCCGGTGTGAGAGAAAAATGAAATGTTTCTGTCGGTCAGACCAGCTCCATCATGATGCAGAGGAAACAGGAACCCAGAAAGAGAGAAGCTCTTGGTGGAGAGCACACAGCAGCAGGGTTGGAAACACAGCTGAAGAGAAAGGAAGGAAGGGAAACAAGCCAGTGGAGTGGCTGCCGCCCGTCATCCCAGGGCTCAGAAGGTGGAGGCAGAAACACGTGGCGCTCCAAGTGACTCACCGCTACACATCTAGCTGGAGGCCAGCCTGAGCTACAGGAGACGCTATCTCAAAAACAAACAGCCAGGCATAGTGGTGCCTACCTCTAATCCCAGCAAAAGCAGAGGCAGGTAGATCTCTATGAGTTCAAGGCCAGCCTGGCCTCCATAGATTCAGGACAGCCAGGCTATGTAGAGGAACTTGGAATAAAAACAAACAAAAACAGGAAGAATAAAACCTAGTTTAATAACGTGTTCTTTAAGAATCTTTCTTAAAAGAAAAAAAGAATCGTTTTTTTCTCCTCTGTGATGTTCAGTAGGCAAACATTCAACTATTGAATATAGCCCCATTAATTTCCTGCTTTTCAGAGACTGGGTCTCAAAAATGTATGTTAATTAATAAAAGCTTGATCCTTGAATCTATTGAGACTAAGGAATGTGTTGACAGCTTACATCATCGTGGCGCCCTGCACTGTCAGGAGGCAGACTGATCTCAGCACCAGCCCAGCTCCTCTCGGAAAATGGGTGGGTGATGTGCAGAGGGACATGAGAGTCTTCCCTGGGGAGAAGGTGCTAAACCTAGGCAGGGAGGCAGGCCAGGGACTCATTTGTCACATGGGAAAGTATCCAGCACTGGGAGATAAATCATTTGGATTCCAGATGTGGCATTTGGTAGTTTGGTAAGCTTCTTATATTCTTATAGTCTCTGAAACTACTTTTTAACACATACAATGCAGACAGAATATCTATCTTAACCCCCCCCACACACACACACCAGGGATTGAACCTAGGGCATAATGCGTGTGAGGCAAGGGCTCTATCACCGAGCTATAACCCCAATGTATTTTCATAGCTTCTTAAATTCAAGTTAAGATAATGTAACTTGTCAAAGTACGCTTGCATGAAACTTTAGAACAGTAAAGTGTGTGTCATAGTGACCAGCAGATGGCGATCGAGGCCAGCGGTCTGAAGAACGCGTGGTCCTAACTGGAGTCAGGTGTGGCTCTCTCCTGTAATCCCATCGCTATCAAGGCAAAAGCAGGAATATCGCCAGAGTGTGAGGACACCTCGAGTTATATACTGAGTTCAAGCTAGTTTAAACCACGGGGGAGAGGGTGAAGGAGAGGGGAACTTGCTTCACCTAGAGCAACCCAGAGTGGACTCTCAATGAGATGTCCTCAATTAGGCCTTAGATGAGGGAAACTGACGTTATTCAGACCCCAAGCAGCGCCTCAGCGGGGCTCTCATGACTTGGTGTCTTGCTGTGTGCAGGAAAACAAGCAGGAACTGGGATTCCCTCTTCAGAGTACATGTCGAGGTACATTCGATAGGTCCCATCACCACCTCTCACCAGTTTCCTTGGATGCTCTTGTGTTATACAGGGGATCTCAACCAGAGAGCTGAACCCACTGCTGACCCAGTGTGCAACTGAGGATCTAATGGTCCCGGGTGTTATCTCACGGCGGGTGCTGAGGAAGGCATCTAGCATTATTAACCGCTTTCTTTGGCTCCCCCTAGCGGCGACAAGGTCACACTGAGTCCAGCATCCTCCTATGATGCAGAAGCGGGTAGACTCTTGTCCTACCACATGGGGGTGAGGGGGAGCCATACTCAGATACCTGGGGCCCTTCCTCCGTGTCCGGGTTTTTTTCTCCCTCAAAACTCAGGAATCTGAAGCAGATGCGGAGGCCATTGTCAAAGAGACAGCCCTGAGAGGTTTTGATTGGCTAGAAGTCTGGTAGTGCTGTGAATGTGCAGTTCTGAACTTGCTGAGGACACGTGCTCTCCTCCATCCACTCCTTAATTCTTTAGCTTGCCACCAGACAATAACTGTTGATTTGATTCCTATCCCCAGGGGCCAGGGCAGAACCACACTTGCCCTGGGAGAAGCCTGTGGCTATGCGCATCCTAGGGTCTGGGCTCTGTCGACCCATCCCTGGACAGTGAGCAGAGAGCATGGAATGTGTCTTAGGGCCTGGGACCTTGAGTCCCTGCTCACAAGCTTACCTTAGGTCGCAGGACCTGTGTGGGACCTTCATTGGAACAGCAGCCACTGACGGGGTTGAATTACAGCTGGATACCATGCCCCAGAACTTGTGCAGGACCTCTGAGGTAACTGGGAGGGAGAGGCAGTAAATTCTTGAGCATGAGTTTCCATGGCTTCCCGGCTGTGAACAAGGCTCTTCCACCACTGAAGGTCTAGTTAGTGCCTCTCCTAGTGCAACTTCAGGCTCTATAAACAGTGGTCTCTGTTTTGTTTCTTTTTGTTTGTTTGTTTGTTTGATTTTGAGACAGGGTCTCTCTTTGTAGTCCTGCCTGTCCTGGAACTCACTATGTACACCAGGCTGGCTTTGAACTCACAGAGACCCACCTGCCTCTGCCTCCCAAGTGCTGGGATTAAAGGTGCATGCCAGTACACCCAGCCAACAATAGTCTTTAAAATGGACAAATTGAAGTGGTTTTTTTTTTTAATCTTGTAAACAATGAGTAGAAATAGCTTCACAGAGCCAGAAAGATGGCTCAGGGGGTAAAAGCATATGCAGTGAAAGCCTGAAGACCTGAATTCAAATGGTGGGATGCTGTGGAAAGATCTTTTCGTATACTATGAATAGCTATTACTCTCATGGGCTAATAAAAAGCTGACTGGCCTATAGCTAGGCAGGATTTTCCGGGAGAGAGGATGGTGGGAAGAGGAAGGACAGAGTCACAAGTCTCAAGGTGATACAGAGGAAGCAGAAGATGAACATGTGGTACTGAGATAAGGCACCAAGCCACGTGGTAAAACACAGGTAGGTATATGGGTTAATTAAAGTTGTAAGAGCTAGTTAGTAGGAAGGCTAAGCTATTGGTGAAGCATTTATAATTAATATTAAGTCTTTGTGTGGCTATGTGGGAACCAGCTGGTGGGACAGAGCGGACTGGTGGTCCAACGGAAAACTCTGCCTACAACGGAAAGTGGAAGAGACAACCAGCTCCCAAGGTTTGTCCAGCTTCCCGCTCCCCAACACACATGCATACACACACACACACACACACACACACACACACACACACCCTCCCAGTGCTGGGATGAAAAGCATGAGCTACCACGGGAAAAATAAATCGTTTGCATTGTTTTAGCTCTTTGTTTTGGTGAGTGTTTTGGTCCTTTCTTTGGTTGGTTTTGAATCAGAGTCTCCAGTCATCAACTCACTGTGCAGCAGAGGATATCCTTGAACTTCTGATCCTCCTGCCTCCACTTCCCAAGTGCAGGGATTATTGGTGTGGTGTGCTTCCACCCCACCCCATCTTATTCTTGTTTTGCTCTTGGGTGCCAGAGAATGGGGCACATTCTCACTCTTCGGACTCTCCATGTCGCTTCTGAACCCTCCCCTTGTGTTGGGGTCCCCGGGCAGGTGCTCTGGCCCTTAGATGTGCTCGGGGACAAGCTGAGCCTTCTTGGCCCTGTGTCTGTACTTCTACTGAAAGTTCTATTTTAGCAATCATCTAGGATTTATTGAACTCCTGCTTTGTGGTTATATATCTGCTACTGTTGTTTGGTGTGGAAAACATTTGCATAGTTTCAAAGGGCTTTGTTGTTGTTTACACTTCCCCCACCCCAACACACACCTGCAAATCCACAGAATGCAATAACAAAAAAGATAGATAGCAACAGATGTGGGTAGGAATGTTGGAATCTACATTCTGTTTGTTTAAAAAATGTAAAATGATAGAGACACTTTAGAAAACAAATACAGTTTCTTGAAATGTTAAATATTGTGCTACCAAATATCCATAATTCTACTTCTCAATATCTACCCAAGAGCAATGAAACAGCACCCCATAAAAGTATGTACACACCCACAGTAATGTTGCTTTTAAGATAAAAACATAAAACCCCACAATGTAAACAACTCAAATGCCACC